ATTGCGTGCTGTGCTCTTGAAAAAGCCTTCAAGAGAATTTTCCTTCCTTAGACACCAACACCTCCATATAACAAAGGTTCAGTTACATTCTTTGTGAGTGGAGAGGACTGAAAGACAGGAAACCTCCTCTGTCCAGTTATACTGCTTCTATCTTACAGAACCAACCAGCAGCAAAACCTGGACTGCACCCAGGTCCTAAAACAATCACCTGAAATTCCAACGGCACGTATAGTTTCAAAGGTTAGAGGAAGAAGAGACTCTTTTTTACACAGGTATACATCTAAATGAGCATTTTACAATCCAAATTAGAAGCAGCTTCTCTACAGAGCAGACAGAAGGAATACGATAGAAGGTCAGAACATCTGATACAGAAAGGTGATCTCTGAGGAAAGCTAAATCTTCTAAATAGGGATGATTTATGCTGAGCTCGAACTACTTCAAAATTTAGAGATTGAACAGACAAAGGAACCAAGAGGTACTGCAGGGCACAACAAAACAAGTATCAAAAGGATACGCACAAAAAAAAGAAAGAAAAAAGAATATTGTGTTTCTTTTTGGAAGCAGAAAGCTCAGACTTACTTTTTCAAGTAGGATTACTTGAGGAAGACAGTTCTCTTAAACTAATGAATAGAAATCTACCAGTTCACAGAGAAGACAGAGGGACAGGTTGAAAAAGGGTCCTGAGAATTTTCATTAAGAAGTCTAAAAGTCGATGGGCTAAAGTGGCATATAGTTTAGTACTTTCTGGGTTTTTTGCTAGAAACTGTTAACACTACAGAATCCCAGCACAACTCGTGTATCATTCTGAAAGGTATGCATTCCACCATTGCAGGCTTTACATCAATGGATGGTATGAGATTTGACATGTAGATTTTTATTCATGATTCATTGTTAATAGGGAGAAAATTTCGAGGGCCTAGAGATCAAGTGTGAGCATTCTGGTATTAAAAATGTAATTTTTAAAATTTGAAACAGACATCAATAAATTAAAAGGATGATCTAAATCACTATGAGGCAGAAAAATGTTAACGGTTTTATTGTTAAAATAATATTCAACATCTCATTTGACAACTCTACCAAAAATGCTAGGCATATCAGCTTTTTCATCTGAAAAGCTCAGAGCTTAATATTGACAGAACAGATGAATGGAAAATAGACAATTCCTCCTACACACATACTGATCTGAATCACAACAAGTTCA